AACACTTTGGCCATCTCATGAGAAGAGAAGACTCCCTGGAAAAGACACTGATATTGGGAAAGTGTGAAGGCAAGAGGAGAAGGGGACGACAGAGGATGAGATGGTTGGACAGGGTCATCGAAGCAACCAATATGAATTTGACCGAACTCCGGGAAGCAGTGGAAGACAGGAGGGCCTGGCGTGCTCTGGTCCATGGGGTCACGAAGAGTCGGATATGACTTAATGACTAAACAACAACAAAACTATAGGATGCTGAGAAGCAATGCTTCCATGATCACAACATTCTAATCAACAATTTCTACCCATTTGCCTCAGTGGAATGAATGACTTGCACAAAAACTGTGCAACACATGGTCTTTGGACAACATCCATGCAGCCTTTGGATTGCCTCCCCAATGACTTGCTCCTATAATGTTACCTAAATTGTACTTTAGCATGTGCCCCGTATAGTAAAGCAAAGAGGTAAATGCTGGCATGGTGTGATGTGACAAAGCCTGAGAGGAACAAACAGCCACTGTATTTTGAAGAAAAAGCTAGACACAGGGATTCAGGTCTGATGGATTTAGATGTAGCTTGTGAAATGAAAGGAAGACTGCTTGTATATGAGCTGCTATTAGTCTAGTCACCACTATCCCAATGTCAAACATGCAGCTTTTGATGCTAAATAGCAGCTGTTGAGATAATGGATCAGAACTAGGACCAGAGTATACTGTGAAAGGATTTTAACATTTTCATCCTGTACTACAGATGAGCAAAACTGCTCCCAAGAAGCCACCAAAGAAGGAAAGTTTTCATTAGCACTAGCAGGAGGTCTATGCTATATTTATTTTATTATTTATTTATTTAATTTATTACCGCCCAACGGGCTACCAAGGCCACTCTGGGTGGTATACTGCAAAATAAACATTAACACCAACATAAAATAATAACTACATAAATATCACAATAAAACATCAGATCAGAGCAAGATTAAATCGGTCATAGACCAACATCCAAATGCACAAAAACAGTAAAACACATATATAAAAAGAAAAAACATACTGCCCTGTTTTCCTGAAAATAAGACATAACCTGAAAATAAGCCCTAGTATGATTTTTCAGGATGCTCGTGATATAAGCCCTACCAGCAAAATAAGCCCCAGTTAAGTGTAACCCCGCCCTCCACCATTGTGCAGAAACCAGAAGATGACATGACTGTATTTGAATAAATGTAGATTGCTGTACATGAAAAAAAAATAAAACATCCTCTGAAAATAAGCCCTAATGCACTTTTGGAGCAAAAATTAGTATAAGACCCTGTCTTATTTTGGGGAAAACATAGTAAGTTAAAAACATCCGAACAGAGTAATACATTATACTACTTTAGTCTCCCTTTTGGGTTCCCACAATAAAAAAATAAATAAAACATACTAGTGAATTAAACTTAGAAAGGAAAGAAAAATACAAGATAGAAGACAAGTAATTCAACCAACTGGACTGGGAAGGGGGCTTTTGTCTGGAACACAGGATGGGTAGAACGCAATGGTGAGGTCACAAGGTGTTCTTGGACTGTAACTTGCTACTTTTACAAACTATGCTTAAGTTTAATTGCTATGCTTATGAATGATACATATGGACACATACCTCCACCATGTTGATAGTTCCCACTGCCAATGTTTTGTAGCCAAGAATTGTTCTGTTTTTATATCGTTTCCTCCTCTGCAACATTATTTGAAGTATGTTGCCTTCTCTTTTCAAGAAATGAGGATACTGCAGGTGAAACATTTCAATGTTTTAATACAGCATACAAAAGTAGAAAACTAAATGCTTTGTATGATAGCAAACATCTGAAAATCTATAAAACCAATTGGCTAAGCATGCATCAAAGCCTCCATGGAGAGAAAGGTAAAGGTA